AATGAGTGCAAACTGCCTTTATCTCTGTACTTTCGCCTGCGTCTCGCTCATCCGCCTGTTGTTAAATTTGATCACAAGTGCTAATCGTCGGCTTTCTGCGTCAAGATTGACTTCACTTATGGATGAGTCAGCACGGCTGAAGCCGAAGCATAAATTTTTTGTCATATGAGGAGGAACAACTGCACGATCAGAGCACATGCGCTGACCAGGAAGAGAAAATAGGTGGAATGCGCGCGAGGAGCTCGAATTTGGCTTCTGTTTTGATGTTCACTGTACATTCGTATCTCGGTATGCAAGAAAAGCATAATGTTGTCGTAATGCTGAGTGCTTTCTAACTGACCTTTGCAAACGCGGTTGATTTTAGTCCACACACAGTTGTATTGGTTTATTTTATGAAAAGTTCTCTTCACTTAGCGAATGAGACAAACAAGCACAGGGAAAAACTTATCAATTAATGCTTCTGTTTTTTTTAAATACCCTTTTACTTCAAACGGTTCATTCATTTGCAGTGGCCTTTGTTCTTTTCGGCGCACCGTGGCAGCTTCTTCAGAAGATATTTCAAATAGTCTCGGACCAGGTCGTCAATTTGGCCGAATCGTTTGATCCGCGGTCTTTCCTTCGGCTGCCTCCCCTGTGGTATTATAACTTACGAATATATACGCTCCCTCATCACTTATCGACACTATTTTAGTTTTGATCTGGAAATCTGAAAGAGTTGTTTGGATTGTAGGGTTTCTCAAACTGCCGCACTCCAAACTTTGTCATGTCTCGTTAAACCATCAATCCTATTTTTCCGCTTATATCCGGAATTGCACTCTTTCAACCAATAGCCAGTACTCAAGACCATAGTTAAGAGTAGGGTCGTACACACATTTGAAGACAGTGAGTTTCGCCCAACCACTGAGCTCCTTCTTCATCACCACATATCGATTTGATACTCGCATCTCGGTGCTTGCTTGACCGACTAGTGTGTCGTCTTCCGTATCTTACCTACCATCAGTCCTAACTCTTATCCCGAGATACTTAAACTTTCTGCCTGCCGTTTTATTACATCACTGCCTTGCACGGTATGCTCAATGGCCTTTGTCATGAATGCAAAAGCTCGGCTGATTTGCATTCCGGCCTCATCGCACGTTGGGTAATACGCCGTGAAATCTGGTCTTTGAGTAGTTATGCATTATCTGACATACTACGGCGCACGAGCGTACTTTTATGTTTACGCACCAGCTCCTGAAGAGTCGATCACAGTGAGCGCGATATGGCTCTAACGAAGAAAATGATGCGAGGAGCATCTGGCACCGCAGTTGCCAAAGTACGATGACATATCTAAATGGTCCCCTAGGCAACAAAGTTCGGTGCACTACACTGTAATGCCTGATCTTGGACGGGTTATCTTTATCGACGATAACGCCGTTATCTAACTACTAATCGTTAAGAATAGGTTAACCACGGATTACCTCGTTCGTTCATGGTAAGACGTTGCAACACCAGGGGGCACAAATTTGCAAACAGTACAGTTTGTACTCAGCTAAACCCCGACGACGCTACCTTCTGTGTAACGAAACGCGTTGATAATAAAGACTTTCCGTCTGTCGCATTTGGTGCCCTAAACCATGAATCGTCCAACCACCTGCCTATATAACTAGAGTCAAAAATCTGTCGTGTTATTCGTTCAACAGATGCCTGATACGCTGTCGATCTTTCAGATGAACTGTGCGCCGTTCTTAAATGCAACAAGGGAGAGCTGTGCATGGTCCAAAGCAACAATGCAAACTGCATCACCAAGAGTGACGTGGCAGCACTGAAAGCGAAGTGAGCATACGATTATATGTTAGCATAGAAAGCTGATGTGATAGGACCAACATCGCTTAAAATGATGTCATTATTTTATTTCTAGGGTGGCGAAAATCATTGAAA